GTAGGTAGCGAAGTCGACGACATTCCTGGCTTCCTTGAGGAGATCCATGGCCCGTCTCTAATTTCCCCAGTCAGCGTCGGTTCCTCGTGTTCTTCTGACGCAGTTCTAGGCGTTTAGTTGCAAGAGATTATAAGAATTTTAGGCTTTTGATAACCAAATTGTTTACTTGCTGCATCACTCGGTTAGAATAACTCAGTAGCTTTAAATTCATTTTTTTTCGAGACTCTACGGTTTTTTGAGGGCTTTTCATCATTGTATGAATAAATATGGACGTTCAGAGTACAAACTTTGCCAAGTATTTATAAAAAAAATCCAATTGCTTGATAAGAGACTAAAAAGTACACGCTGTTAAAATAACGCCGGAATTCTAATCCTACGATTTTCTAAGATTAATCCTAGTGGCCGAAAAGAATTATTGCACACTATTTGTATATCAGCTCATTTCTTTTAGAGTATATAGTCTTATATAGAAATATAACATATAGAAAGAAGAAAGAAAATGTGAGTGCCGTTGTGCAAGCGAGCCTGCATTTGCGCAAATGAGTTCGGCGAGTTGTGGGTCTCCGAGGCAGGACCGAGCTCATGCCCAAGGCCCAGTCCGCATCGCGTTCCGGGCACTCGACCGCGCTGACAAGAGCTCGAACGGCATAAGAGCCTGGTTCTCACAAATATGGAATCCGGAATAGGGCGTGGGCGTGGGCGCGGGCGTGGAGTGAGTGGAAGTGAGGTTATCGAGCGGGTGGACTTGCGACGACCACATGTCCCTCCACCTCCAGTGTCACAAGCAGCGCCTCCCGTCGGGATCCGCCAGACCTCGGAGGCCACCGCGGCGACGCCAGGTAAGGCTGCACCCTCGTTCTCAGGACATCGACGGCGCTGGAGGAGGGGGCACGGCCGGACTGCAAGGCCAGGGCAGAGCGGGCGAGGGGGCGAGTGACGGAGCCAGAGGCGCCGGGGAGGGACAGCCAGAGGCACCAGGCTGGCAGGGGGGGAGTGGGGACGCAGGGGTTGTCTGGAGGGGATAATTTTCTGGAATAGGTCTACATAATAAAACCCAAGTGTTTGGCACTGATGGCCTCCAACTGTGCATTTGTAGTGGCTTTATTTGGCACTGGGTTACAGTATTGGTGAAACTAAGCCTGATAGATAGAGAGAACCAGAAGAATCCTGTGGTAATTGTGAGGATAAAGTGAATGGCACATGTAGATCCCTATCAGTGTTAAGGAGGTGGCTCGCCCATAAAAGACTGGGACATACAGCCCCCCCCTCCCCCTACCTGGTATGCAAAAGCTCTACCACATCTGACTGTCAAAATAGTCCTTACAGGTCCAGGCAACGTGCCAGCATAAATTACGTCACGTCTTAGCCGAGGCTTGTCCTAAGTAGCTGTGTAAATTATTGGAGTTTTCAGATATTTCTATTGTGCATATTTATTGATTCTGCATTGACTTCCGTATTTCATTTGACAAATTGGTAGTACTTTACAGCAAGGATGCACTCACCAGAGATTAAGCCCCCAAATTTTTGGGTCGTAATATTTAGTCAACGATGTAAGTTGCTGCCTGAGGGGAGAATTGATTCCCCCTCCCCGGCAAATATTGTCTTCCCTCGCTATGCACATCATGACAGAGCTGAAACTTATGAGCTGTTAGGTTGCTAAGTGTCCGTTTTTGTTACCCCTAATGTATATGGGGGTAATGCACATCACTCAGTCAACAGGCACACCTATTGAAATAATTTTGTGAATTTTTACGGCAAAAGTTCTTTGAAATCACATGGTTGTAGAATTCACTTGAATCAATATCTGGTAATTCTCTGGTGTATATAAGCTCTTGACAAGTTGTGGCTACAGCAGCCTCTGAGCTAGTTAAGTGATACCTGTCGGCCTCTCTTCCGAGGGGTCAGGCCAGGTGCCAGAAGTTGCAATAGTCACCTGGAGGTTACTGCTTTTGCTGGGCCCCACAGCGGGTGAGGACTAAATTCAGTCAAGTCAACGCCAGACTCCTGTTAGTGAGTCGGCATAGACTGCTCTCTTCACGGGCATAGCCGTGAAGAGAGCAATTCGTTTATAGCAATTCGTCTATAGAGTATTACTATGTCTGATTTCATTTATGCCTTTTACTTTGTAAATACTTGTATAATTTTCTTTTTTATGTTGCATTTTGTAAAGTAGAAAGTATGTTATTTCTGGCACTGAGATGTATATTTTGAATGCTATTGAAACGATTTTCCTGTTTTGAAAATTCAAACACAAGCAGTAGAACTAGTAAAAGGAATATGAAAAATCATTGATTCAACTTCACTGAGATATCACTGAATTTCATTTGTCAACATTTGTTGTTATTAATAAAAGTTAGCCCGACAATATGAATTTATTTTTTGTTTCAGCTATTTATATGCCAAATGAAACCAAACTCGAGATATAGCATCTCTGTAATAATACCAACCAGGAAAAAAATTACGGCTACAGGGGTCAAGATGGGCTAGAGCAAGTCGAGCAGGAAGTTCCGCTACACATATAGGACTCCCCAGCCAAACAGCTGGATGGTTACCAGAAGTCACTGGAAGCAGTGGCGCCCAGAGATTTCTGGTATTGTCATTGTAGGGTTAAGAGTATCCAGATTTGTTGGTTAGGTTCCCTTAACCCATTTGTTATGGGTGTTACGTATCCATGACATGCCCACTGTGAGTTTACTTGTTTAATTGTTTTACACATAGATGGCTACATTTGTACTTGGACTGCCTGTCTTGCCCGTTTACCCTTTTCTTTAACCCATTGGTGACGGGTGAAGAAAACTAAAAAAAAAAACTGTGCTCTGGCAATCAATGGCAGCGCGCCATCTTTGAGCGTGAGAGTTCGGTACATCAACCAAATCACGGGCTCACCACACTTTGGCACGCTGCTGTGTACAGCCGCAAGCTGCATTTCGAGCAGTTTGTTTTCACGCCTATAAGCGTCCCCTGTCATGAAGGGGTTAATTTACAAAAATAGTTTACGTTATTTTATTTTCTTGTTACTAATGTTTATAACCTTACAGTAATTACAATGCTTATAATAAAAATAACCATCGATATTCATAGCACTAGTAAAAAATATATTTTCCCGCCAATTCAAGTAAAGGTGTAATCGGGTAAGGGAGAGCCTTACAAAAAAATTTTAAAAATGAGCACAGCATTTTCCCCATTTTTTGTTCACAATTACCCATCGCGAATGGGTTAAAAGCTTAAAAGCTTGTATATTTTTAGGGTTGTTTGATGTTTCCCCAAAATATGTTCTGCCTCATGATTTTCTGCAAGATATTGAAAATTTTCCCCTACAAATTTTTTTTTTTTTATGTTCTTAGAATTTTCATGTGTCCTACAGCAAAATGTATTACTTCAGCCACAGCATTATGACTGATATGAATATTATACCATATCAAATGCTTCTTGAAATCCACTGATTTATATTTATACATACACATATATACACATACATATATATATACATATACATATATATACATAGATATATATATACATCAACATATGTTTATATATATACATCAACATATATTTATATATATACATAAAAATTTACACACACACACACACACACACACACACACACACACACACACACACACACACACACACACGCATGCACACATATATATAAATAAACCCAATTGGTATGAATAGCAAGAATACATGCCATGATCACTGTAATATTAGCTTATTTATTGTATTTATTCTACAAGGGCTTAGTCTTTTAAAGTCAAAACATAAGGGATTAAGTTCCTGTCAATATTTTAGTTTTAATTCAAGAGTTGTCGAGAAATGAAAGGAAAACCAAGGCGGGCGGTTAATGTGCGAACTGACATTGAGGCGAGCGATGAATAGCTCGCCTCGCTAACCCGAGGCGAGCGTGGAGGCGCGCGCGGGCGATCGCCCGCCTCAAACGGCCAGGTCTGATATATACATATACATATACATATACATATATATATACATATACATATACATATACATATACATATATACATATACATATACATATATACATATACATATATACATATACATATATACATATATACATATATACATATATATATATATACATATATATATATATATATATATATATATATATATATATATATATATATATGTATATATGTATATATATATATGTATATATGTATATATATATATGTATATATGTATATATATATATGTATATATGTATATATATATATGTATATATGTATATATATATATATATATATATGTATATATGTATATATATATATATATATATATATATATATATATATATATATATACACACACATATATATACACATATATATACACATATATATACACATATATATACACATATAGATACTATACTATCCATCTAATTCCATAACATATACATATCCTTACCTATACTATCTATATATATATATCTATCTATCTATCTCTCTATATCTCTCTCTCTACAATCTATGATATATATATCTCTATATGTATATCGATATTCTTATATTTGTCTCTATCTATCTCTATATATTATATAAATATCTTCTATATATCCATATATCTATATATTATCTTATCTCTCTCTATACTTACATGTCACTGTAATGTACCTGTACTGTCACGTAAGTACATGTCTCTTGCTCTGTCTATGTCTCTGTATAGTATCTATAGATCTATATATATATATCTATATGTATCGATCTGTATTATATATCTATATATATCTTTAGATAGGGAGAGATAGACAGAGAGGTGTGTATAGGATAGGGAGATAGAGAGAGAGAGGGGGAGATGAGTAGATGTATAGAGAGATAGAGAGATGGATAGGGGGGAGAGATAGGGAGAGAGAGATATAGATATAGAATATAGAGGTATATAGATAGAGGAGACGGATAGAGAGATAGAGATAGATAGATAGAGGGATATATAGGTAGAGGGAGGATAGAGAGGAGAGAAAGATATAGAGATAGTATATAGAGGAGAGAGAGGTAGAGATAGGGATGGGAGAGAGATATGATAGAGTATATAGATAGAGATAATAGAGAGAGGATAGAGGTAAGTATGTATCGAGAGGGGAGAGTGGCGAGAGATGTCGATAGATGGGGATAGAGAAGGGAGAGATAGAATAGAGAGATAGATAGAGAGAGAGATATAGAGCAGAGGGATAGAGAGAGGTATATATAGATGGAGATATAGACGGGAGAGATGAGATGGAGAGGAGAGAGATAGAGAGAGAGAGAGAGAGAGAGAGAGAGAGAGAGAGAGAGGGTAAGATATATGTATTATGAGATATGATATAGCTAGATTATAGAGATATAGAATATCGGGGAGGATAGATATATAGATAGATATAGTATATTAGAGAGAGAGAGAGGTAGATAGAGATAGAGAGGATTAGATATATATTATAGATGGAGAGAGATATGAGATCGAGATATAGAGAGCGAGAGAGATAAGGACAGAGAGATATATATAGGATAGGGTCTAGAGAGATGTATGAGATGAGTATATATATATATAAATTATATATAGATATGTAGTATATGTATATATATAGATATATCTATCCATATATATATTATATATATATACATAATATATATTATCTGTGGTTTTCTATATAATGATAGAAGAATAGAGATATATATAGGTATATATAGATGGAGTATATATATGTATATAGATATGTACTATATATATATATATATAATATAGATATATAGATATAGAGATATATAGTATATGGGATGGTAGGTAGATATATATAATAGATATATATATATATTATATGTATATATATCGGTATATA